ATTTTGGGGGGACAGTAAATAGCGTTGGCGGTGGTCCTGGCCGATGTCAACGAGGCTCTAGCTTTAGGCAAGTTACTCAGGGCATGATAGGTTTTACTTTCCAACAACAAAACTTCAACGAGCAAATTTTTGTCATCTAACTTCTTTAATTCCCTGAGCAGAGCGGTGGCCAGGTCCAACGCTTCTGTGTACATACCTGTGTCGTAGTATAACGCGACGAGCCGGGCTTCCAGAGATTGCCTCAGGAACGTTCTGCGCTCTTCTTTTGCCCATTCTATACATTCTTTGCACAGCTGCACTTCAATACCGATGCCCGCTTCCAAGTCCAAAAAGAAGTCTACCAGTGAGCGTACCAATTTTGCCGCTTTAGCCTTACTTATAAGGCTAAGGAATGGTCGTGTAGCTTTTATTAATTCTGCGAGTTCCTTTGCTTTGCCTTCCTTCTTATATTTCTCCCCGAGATTCAAGATGCCTTGTTCTTTTGCACGTATGTTTTCTTCGTCATCTTCGGGGACCTCGCCAGTGCTGACCATTTTGTCTGTCATGCGTACGTCTTCCTCTCTGTTTGCTGAGGAGACGCGCGACCTCTCGAATAACATTGCACCGGCCATGATGTATATATTTATAACTAAAATATCTGTTATAAAAGGACACTATAATTGCTATACTTTTTCTTTGTAATTTTGTATAATCGCAAAGTCATCGACGACCTTTTCAGAAACAAATCGTAGACGCGTACAAAGTTGCCATGTCAAAACAATAAAACCACAGACAAGACAAGTCCATGTTATAAGAAATAATGATATTTTTCCTGCGCTTGCAAGCGCCTAGTGGCGCCATTTCACATTTTGTGTCAATTCAATATAAACATCCAAGTTTTAAGGCTCTATAACTAGCAAAAGCCTAAAAAGACATACCTAAGGAGAGATCGCTTCGATCGATTTTAAAATGTAATTGAATAGTTTACATCATTTGTATGGGATATTTATTATTCATATCTTATTAGGTTTACTATTTTCTACAGAACAGATGACGTTGAATGCTCAAAAAAATCACGATCAAATATAATCTTAAACTTGTTTAAAGTATAAAATAATTTTGCGATTGAAAACCCATCTAGAAACAAATAAAAATTACTGTTCCCGAGTCCAAAAAGAGTAACAGTTTCGGAGTTAAGTGGACTATAAAACAATTATTTTAACAAGCCACTTTTTTGTGGCAGATTGTAAACTTTGTTGCATAGTAGAGTGCCCTCTTCTGATTATAATTACATTAGAGTTTTGGAGTTTACTATAGGTTGAGCTCTCAGTGTTTTCATAACGGAACAATTTTGGTATTGTAATATAAACTCTTTGCTGTCTAATTATAATACTGTCAAGCTTTAACATAACTTACGTTTAAAAAATCCAAGATTTGTCTTAGGAATCAAATGGACGATGAGAAAGTGGAATACATTGTAAACTCGAAGATTGTGAAAAAGACGAATTGGAAGTAAAATGGCTACGAAACCAGTTTTAAGTCCAGAGGAAAGTGTACAATTTTTATTTGAGATATCCAAGGTTGTAAAATTATTTTATGAAACTCCAGTAATATTTTTTACCAACAAAGATTACTCGGAGTATGTTTTTAATACAATTTGTGAGTTACGGTTATGTTTACAAACCGATAACAAAAGTAATTTAATGGATATCATACTCGACTTTCACTTACAATGGCTGCACGCTGTAAATGATGTGGAAAATTTTATGAAACTTATAAAAGATCTGACTAAAGATGAAATCTCTCAGGCAATTAGTTTCACTATTGATGCCATAGCTTTACGTTTGAAATATTATGAACAATATATGAATGTACAGCGACAATCCCTAAAAAGTGAAATTCAAGCAAACATTATGTCAGACATCGAAATTGTAGAGGAAATGCACGAACATGTCATACATATTATTTTGGAAAAATTAAAATGTTTTCGTAACTTTGACATGCAATATGAATTTAATTTAAAATTAAATCATTCAATAGAAGAGTTTCTGTATTGGTTAGATAAGATATATGACAGCCTTGCTATGTTATTGTGCAACTATATCAACGTTAATGTACCTCACCTTTCTGGGGATTTAAATAAAACTTTACAACAGATTGTTGGAGATATGAAAAATTCAAAATCCTTGAGTGCCCAAAAACTACTCGAACAAATCGAAAAACAAGATAAGGAGTTGAGCTCCATGATACGTTCGACAACGTGCCATAGTCTTGAGATTCGAAAAGTTCTTGACAAATTGAACGTTATAGAAGACAGAATAGCTAGATTGGAAAACGAACCACTTTCAGCAGCAGTGATGGCATTAAAACATAAGAAAGACTATTTGGAAAAAAGACTGAACTCTCTTGAAAATATGAAAATAACTTTAAAAGATATCGAAGAAGCCACAGAGGATCATTTGAAATCTAAGTTGAGCGATGATAAACTGTGTATATGCGAGGATTTTTATCAATTACGAATTTTTAATCATCAGCTACCGACCGAAGAACGTGAACGCTTAGTAACCGAATTATGTTATTTATGGGATTTGGCGGTTTTTGGAGACCGAAGTCATAAATCGATAATTTCAATTCTTAGCGTCGCTGATATGAAAGAAGAGTTTACCGACGAACTTGGAACTTTTATTATTGATGAACACAGCAGAAAAATTTATAAATTGCCTAATGATGAAACGAAATATCAACCAAATGAAAACAACGAATTAGTGCCCCTTACTGATGATGAGCATGTATACTACTATGACGAATGTGGTCGGTATTTCATAGATGCAAATACTAGACAACGGGTATATAAAGCATTGGACACTTCCAGCGAATACATGATGAGCAGCGCTGGTGTACTATTAAAAACAAAAGAGGTGCGCGAAGGTGTTACCTATTATTACGACAATTATGGACGCTACTTCATTAACCAAGAAGGTAAAAATATATACAAAGATGTTGATGCACAAAGTGAGTATGAAAATGATGGATTTGGAAATCTAGTTCGTATTCGCAGCCAAACATGCATATACAATGTTTGCCCCGATGATGAGAATGTAACTGAAGATTTTATGTATCTTAAACAAAACGTTGGAAAGGCGTTAAGACAGTGTATTGCACAAGTTATATTACAACAACCTGCAGATCCTGTAAAATTTTTATCAGAAAGATTAATAAAATACCGAGAAAACATTGAATTAAGAGATAAAAGAGCCAGAGACAAGGAAGAGATTGCAATAGAAAAAGAAATCATAATGATTGAAGAAAGAGCTAAACAAGAAGCAGCAGCCAGAGCAGCTGCTCAGTTTGCTACTGGTGGTAGTGAAGCCAGCTACGATTCTAATTTGCAAAATTATACCCCTTTACAACCAGAAGATTTGGTTTCGACGGATTCAACTACTAAGTAGAATGGTTTAAATTTTATGATTGTTTTTAGTTTGTTTAATTCAGATGTTTGATTATCCTGGAGCTTAATTTATTCATAATTTGTATTTTTTAGCCAAAATATTTCATGTTTAAAATATTTAATTGTTATAATATGTTAAATAAAAAAAAAAATGAAAATAATACCTTTTAATTATGTAGTTGCTCTCAATTAATTCTATTTCTGTTACTTTAGTTTGAATAGTTAGGATCATCATCTCTGGCACTAAGCGTCACCTGCGAAAAAATGGTGAAAACCAAAAAGGCACAAAATATCACGGCTTGTAGCCGGTTCTTGGAAAGAGTTTATTTATCTATGAAAATATTATCAGAAGTAGAAAAAACTTTTTTCGTCTGGTCACATTGACATTGACAGCTGCTGGCAGCCATGTTGCAAAATGTGAATTTGACCAATTTCATTCATTTGTGTCGCTTAAGATAAGCCTGGGCTTGTAGACGGCTCCAAATCATTTGATTTTTTATTTCTTACAGTACAAAACGGTACATTTACAGAAGTAGTTACATTTATAGGGATAATTATGAGGTGACCCATGTTAAAAACAATTTTTAGTGCCTACGTACTTATACCATGATTAATCTTTTAGGGCAAGGCTCTTGTGTGTTTATGTAAATTAGCATGGATAAGTGTAAAGTGACGTATCGACCATCTATTGACTACAACGTGCGGCGCTCGAGACGTGCAGACGGTCACTAGCGGCTCGAGGGAACAGTGTTGAACCGCTCTCGTTATCGGCTGATGGAATATTGTTAAAAAAGTTTATGAACATGGCTCCTAAGCCTCCTCCTCTGGGACCTCCGCCGCCGCCTGGGCCGCCACCTCCTCCTATGTTCGGAGGTCCCGCGAAAGGCGGAGCCCCGGATAACAGGGGTGCTTTACTCAGTTCAATAAGACAAGGGACAAAACTAAAGAAAACCGTTACTGTGGATAAAAGTGGACCCTACATACAGGGTAAAACACAAGGTTCACCTAGCTCATCAGTCAATAATGAAGTGAAAAGTGGTCCACCAGTGCCTAATGGTGGAGGAACAATTGGGCCAGGTCTTGGTGGTCTTTTCGCCGGGGGAATGCCAAAGCTGAGACCCACAGGAAAGTTGGCAGGTAAATATCTTTTAATATCGTTCCTCATAATTATTTCGTGAACATTATAGTTTCTGAATTCAAATTGGTAAAAACATAATAAATTGTTATCTGTTTATTATTAAGTATTTATTTTTGTAAGGTATAGTATAAATTTTTAGTGATGTCTTATAAAAAATTACATTTAACTATTAGATACAAATTTAAAAAAAATTATGCATTTATTCGAAAACTTCCACTTTACAAGATTTATACATGTAACATTACAAATAAGCTATGTATGAGTCAGGTACCATTACTCAATGTAATTAATTTGCATCATTATTGGATAAAACTTTTAATAATTGTATGATCTCATTCCCATACAGCATACATACCTTTTGAAGGATTTATTTCATAGCAGTTTCTCTCCAACCTTGAGTTTCTATAGCTAGTACAGTCAACTCAATGTATGTGTTTACAATACTTGTATACACCTTTTGGATTAAAAAATATATATATTTAATCTGATTGTACAAATATATTAAACATCTAGTCTCATTCTCATTAGTAAAAATTAAATAACAATTTTTATAAGGGTATTTTAGTCATGGAAGTACTTAGTCAGTTATATCCCAGTCATTATAAGATTGTCTGAAGTGAAGTAATTTTGTTACAAAATTGAAATTATTACTTTTTATTGTGTTAGTTTAAAAGATGTAAACAATTGGTAATTCTTTATTGATTCACTTGAAAAGTTCAAATGTATTCCAAATATAACAATGCTGTTCCAAGCTATTGTTTAACAACATTGCTTTATATTTATTGTTATTAGTTGACAGTTACTATACAAATTTAATAGACCAATATCTCACCCAAAACATAGATATGTAACTATGCCATAGGAATTTTCTGTCAGCATGAACACTTGTCAAAATGCAGTATGACTTCTACTTGAACTTGTCTTCTGTATTGTCTATTGCCTCAAAATGGTCCATTTGTACAGCTGTTAATACTCTTATACTCTATCACTATAAGAATTCTTTTTAATATGATATTTTATTGTTATGTCCTTAACAGGTACAACCCTCAATGGGCAAGTCAGGTCAGAAGCACCTCGATCACCATTACAAATACCACAAAAGCAACATTCACAAGGCTCATCACCGGAGAAGACTAGACCTGGCCATTCTCCCCTGCCTGGTAACAAGCTGAGTGCTATCTCAGCAGCTTTGAATGAGGTGATGGCTGCACTCGAATCGCAGGAGTCTCCAAGAGATAGGGACTCCCCTAGGGAGTATACAAGAGACAATACTCGCGTTAGACGGCAGCCAAGCGAGGTGAAGACAAGGGGACCTCCGCCGCAGCCCCCAGTACAGAAGCCACTTATGCCACTGGTGAGTGCTATACTCATCTATATTAGAGAATGTCATCTATACTTCTATACTAATATTATAAAGTGGAAAGATTTGTATATTAATATGTGTTGAAAAAAAATCAAAAATTACTGGGCCAATTTCAATAATTCCTACACCATTAAAAAGCTATATCAACAGTGAGTCACATAGCAACAGCTAGTAATTCTTAAAATGTTAATTTATGTTCGAATACAACTTACGTATTTCGTGTAAAGCATTAATTAATTTATGATCAGAAATATACAATACAAATTTTTTTATTCCATATATTTATGATTTTGTTTCACTTTTTGAAGTTTTTTAACCCGGCATTTTAATATCGTCGTAGATTTATGTCTTCAGAAGACTAAACAGTATAACTAAAAGTCATATGAGAGGTTATTATTTACTCTGGAATATACTGTTTATAGTACGTATGTACGTAAGTTCCATCGACCGATTGTTTGGGCAATTAGCTAATCGGATCTGTCGGCTCACATCAAACGCGCACACAAACAGGTGGGCCGGAGGTATTGTGATTAATTTTAACACGGTCACACTAAATACAAGCTACTGTATAATAAACAAAAAATAAAATCAATTTATTTACTTTAATCTCTACTATGTTTGTGATAGCTCAAAAAAATATATCTATTCTATTATAATAAAGCTTAAACACACACTTCTTTGTTTTTTAAGATGTTAGCAATTACAACATATTTTTGAATAATTATTATTTTAATAAAAAGCCCTACACTTGCGTCACGCTTTCGGCTATATATTTTAACGCTATTAACTTAGGGGATAAATATTTTGGATAAAAACCCTAATGTGGGAAAGAGACCATAAGTTGCTGCCAACATCAAGAAAGCAAGGTTGACATGGTTTGTCAGCATCATGTCATTTTGACATTTGCAATTGATAATTTGATACATGTAAACAAAAAAATAAAATTTTCATAATTTCTTGCGGTTGAAGTCGCACGGGAACAGCTAGTGTAGGATAAAGTTTTAACTGTGCCCACATAATATAATATAACATGGATTAATTAATCTAGTATCTCTGAATATAACCATATTCATCATATTCATATATTTGTGATATTACGTAATACATTAACAAAAAGAAAGTAAGTACTTGTGAAGAGAAAGAGGGACAGATACGCTGTGTAAAGAAAAAGTAGTTACCGCCGTATATAAAGTGAAGCGAGCCTCTCAGCTGAAGATGTGACCATACTTGTGCCCGCGTTCTTATTGTGCAGAGGTTTTTATTTGTGGACCGTGTAGGTCATGTTTAGCTGGTCTATAAACTGCGGATGGATTTAAAAATTTTGAGCTTGATAAAGGATTTTAAACTTGACACCTAGCTTACTATGTTCAGACACAATAAATGATTTCAATTATTCTATTATCCATATGTTACCAGTACGAGTAAAGACGCGGTAAAAAGTTAGTATGTTTATAAACGATTCGAACGACCCACGCATTGCCTTACGTGGGATATTTAAAGTATTTTAATATGACTCGGGCGGGAGGTACGATATTTAATTTAGGTGCTAACCACCTATGCGGCAGTTTTATTTTCGTAACACCAAATTCCTTCACGTATCGACGTACCGAAAACAAACAGTCGATTATGTGACTCGTATTTAGGTTAAGACTAACCACCAATATTGATAACTATTTAAGGTGAAGTTGCAAGGATTGTTACCGACTGTGTAACTCTGTGGCTTGTTGCTCGTTAGTTCTGACAGTAACAGTACATACTGACTTTAAGAAAGCTTGTATTGTCTTGTACACCATGTAACACCGGTCAGTACGCACCTTTAGAAAAAAACTATCGAACAACTGTTTAGGTGTCACACTACCCGATTTTTTGTTATGCAACTAAACAGTTGAATTGGCTGAGAAACAATCGACAATCGGACAGCAGTTCTACAAAAATATAGTGAAAGTGCACCCACTCATTCTGATACTACCCCGGACCATAGACTTCTTGATAAGTAGACATGTTACTACCCTTAATTCTGTATCATGAAATGTCTATTATCAATAACTTCTTCGTAACTTGTAGTGTTACACTACAAGTTACGATATTATACTTATCTATATTATCGTTTGATTAAATTATCTCTTTACACTATGACGTGTTCATTTAATTATGTGAACAGGAAATACTGTCTATTGTAAGTATAAGTTCCCACTGGCCAGACATCGGTATAAAAATATTTTATCATCCCGTTCTTTCCCATTCTAATAATAGAGACAAAAATATCTTTCGAGTCTGCAAACTCTTTGTAAAGAATCCAACATTAATAGATCCTTCAGCTATATTTTAAAAACAAACTGCCGTCTGTAAACTTCGTTAGTGTGGAATAAAATAAGTGGTCGTCTGTAACATTCTCACGTGAATCAGCTACTTCCAAAGTCCCGTCAAAATCGGCCCAGTTGTTTCGGCGATTACTCGGAAAAACAATAAAAATTGTGATTTTCGTTATCAACGCAAATACATCATATTCGCTAATTTTTTTCAATATTACATACGCTCCAATTTTATTAATTGTATAGATAAGAGTAGATGTTATTGTTAATAATGAAAATTGTAATTTAGAAATAGTGCATAAAATTCTCTCGTCTCAGTTTCATGACCTATTTCTAGTGAGCTAAATTTGTAACAAGTAGGTATTCTAGGCTCTGCAACACTTGACTGAACTATTTTGTTCAGCAGTAGAACAATGTATAAATATTAATTTTATACTTCATGGTAATATTTTACAATGCTTATATTAAATGAAACAGACTAATTAATTAAAAATAAATACTTAGTAAGTAGCCTGTGTTCTACATCTGTTCCGTTTAGCTAATTTGGAAATACGTGGTAACATTTATCCATCCATCCAAACTTACGCATTTTTAATACTATAGATTCATTATTTTATTCAAGTAACCAAGTAACAAAAACTTTAAAATATCCTCCGTGTAAAATATTCAAATAAAGCTTGGAATCACGCAGTATGTATGCTCTTGAGGCGACAACCAAGCTCGAGGACACTTGGTTTGTAAACACGTGTGTAAGCCTATCTTAACCCACACTATCACACTATCTACACCTCAAGAACAACACGTACAGGAAAATTACTCACTTGAATTTTAATTACGGACTATATTGGTTTTTAAGAGACGCTGATTTCAGCGTTTTTGATAACATACTAAAGTATACTTGGTTATTACCTCATTAAGCCTCCTCTCTCTTTCTCTCTCTCCGGATCGTTTCCACATTCTTGAGGGTCGCGACCACTCTCCTTGACAATCTCTCGAAGGGTGTTTCTCCACTCTGTGCGATTCTCTGCCTTATTCCTCCATACGGTCAATTCTTACACTGAACTGAAAAATTTGACTGTTCAGTTAACGGTCAATTAGAATTAAACGTATGTCGCCGGCTTTATGTATCCAGATAGATTCAGTTGGAAGATGCAAAAGAGGTTCTAGTCCTTTAAATACTGCAAGTCCTCTCTTTCCTTTAAAACAAAGTTATTTATTCCTAGTCCGATTCTATCGCGTTGGAGCAAAACTCATCTTACTTCGTATTATCAATATTATAAATGCGAAAGTTTAGATGGATGGATGTTTCCTAGAGTTAGTCGTCTACATGGCTGATTTATGATAATTCTCTTTTACCATAATTTGTTAAGATTGAAGGCCGCGATAGCTAATTACAAGATTCCCTGAAAATTAAAGTTTTCAGAGTAACTGTTATTTTTTAGTCAATATAAGAGTGTCTTAAAGTTGGGTCGTGAAGCATTTGGCAAGAGTTTCATATAATTTAGCGTATGAATGATACGTGAAGGTAATTCGCGATGTAATCTTGTTCAATATCTCGATAGAGATTGATAAGGCGTATGAAGAAACATTCTTCAGAATAAACTATGTTTATCTCCGAATTTCTAAGTAACCTTGTGAATGTTAACTCTTCAAGTATTTGTTTTTATTTTATATTTAGTTGTGTATTGTATATTGGCCGTTATGAGACATGTAAGTAGTTTTCATTTATATTTAATGACGTACTCAGAGACGTTTAGTGGTATTAAAAAGAGCAGATTTCGTAGATGAAATTTATGCTGAAAGAATCTTATCTCGTTAACTATATCTAGATTCCAATTATTCAAAACTCAAGAGAAACTGCCATTAATAAACTATCAGAGATTAATTCCGACCTTCCCTTTGTAAGGTTTCGATTTCTTAAACGATTATAATGCCATTTACTTCAAGCCATTTGTTATCAGTTCAGGTAAATGACGAGAAACAAGTTTAAGTGATCTTTAATCAAATAAGAACAAAACATCAACATGTAAATTACTACATAGTAATATTATAAATGCAAAAGTTTAGATGGATGAATGTTTGTTAGAGTTTGTAGCCTAAACGGCTGTACGGATCTCGATTAAATTTGGCTTAGACGTAGAGAATAGTCTGGAAGAACACATATGCTACTAACTCTTGTTTTTTTTAACACCGCGCGGACGGTGTCGCGTGCGAAAACTATTCGGGGATCATGTGACCATTTGATATGTATATGCCTGGTGGAGTCAAATTAGTACCAAGGAGTCCCAAGGAGTACGAATTCACAGTAGTACTAATTCTGTTAATTAGATTTTACATAAATATTTTTGTTGTCTAGACTAGACAGATAATGCTACTTAACTTTCAATAGCCTTATGTTAGCGTTGCCAGATTCGATGACAGTTTGCCATTTGTAAGGGTTCCTGTACACCTGTTGGGTTTATATATTGTCATAAAAGTGACGTTTATTACATGTTTAAACTATCGGTTTTCACATGTTTACCGAATTTTATCCTTTTTGTGTGGTTGATTGGACTCATTGTTGAAATTATATGCTTTAAACTTAATCAAACGAATCTATATATATATACTTGTGTACTAATATTGTAAAAAGAGGAAAGATTTGAATTTTTGTGTGTATCGAAATAACTAAAAACTACTGGGCCGATTTCAAAAATTCTTACACCATTAGAAGGCTACGTTATCTGTAAGTAAAATAGTCATAGGAAGGGGAAATGTCCTCTTTATGTGCGTCTCCTCAGTCAATTAAGGGTAGGCAACGCATCTGCAATTGCGGATGTTTATGAGTAGCGGTTGCTTTCCATTTCGGTGGATTTAGGTAGCCGTTTGCTAGTTTACCACCTTATATTATAAAAAAAAAATATTTGAATACTGATAAACTATGATAAAGGTGTTTATATAATGAAATTGAAATGTTGTTTAATTTTTTAGATTAAAGATATGTGTTTTTACTTTGTTATGAACTGAGTCATGTTATAGTGAAGTTAGTCATCAGTGTGTATAAACAATCAGTTTATTTGCGGTTTGTTACTACGATGTATTACTCAGTCCGCGAATGTCAGGAATCCTAATTAACGGAATTGAATAGGTCTCGTCTCTGTAGACGTGAATACAAGAAACACTGTTTATGTCATCAACAAGCGTAAGCAAAACCTTGAACTTGGTCTGGAAATTATACTAAATATGTCTTCTATACTAATATAAAGAGGAAAGATATTTGTATGGTTTAAAATAAATCGAAAAATACTTGTCCGATTTCGAAAATTCTTTCGTCGTTACAAAGCTACGTCACTAAGTATCATATATTTTTATTTGCACGCGGATGAAGTCGGGAGCAACAGCTAGTTAACTATAAAGACAAAGTTCTGTTGATTAAGTCAAGTAATGTCTTTTTAATTTTATATACATGTTTCAGACAAAACTGTCGCTTTTAAAATAATTTCCTTGTATATATACGCTTCAATTCAATAAAGCAATAACCATTAGAGTTAACCGTAAAAATTTCATTGGCACATACAATGTATCCCTTTTATAAAACATCGATAGACAAGCTCTTTAAAAGCTGTGTTGTGTAGAGCATTGTACGGCTTCCGCTGGCCCATTGTGAGCTTTCTGCCACTGGAATTGTCGAGCATACTATGGTCGCAGTATTGTACATTTCCTATTGTTCTGTTTCTATTCATTTTGGAGCTTAAAGGACGGTAAGATGCTAGTCGATATCAGCATGTAATAGCAATCTATGCATCGATGTCATCAAAACAAAAGAAAATATTTGAGAGGTCATCTCTGATTGGTTTAGATTTTAGACTGATATTTGAACGAGAATGTACTTTAAAGGGTTGCAAAGTATCAATTATTTGAACATTTGTTATTAGCTATAATATATAGAGGATTTCTATTTTGATACAATACTAGATTTCGCCCGTGACACCGTTGGCGTGGAATTAAAAATAACAAAATTGATTAGCCTATGTGTTCTTCCAGACTATGCTTTACATTTATGCCAAATTTCTTCGAAATGCCTTCAGTTAATGAGGCTATAAACTCTAACAAACATCCATATATCTAAATTTTCGCATTTATAATATTAGTAAGATAATACATACAATTCATTAATTTGGAAAACAATATTAGATAAGGCTATAAAAGGCAAAACAAACGGTTTATCAGATAAATACCGATATGAAAGTCTATCTTGCACTACTTATTAAAATTTACAGTTGTTTAGTAACCTCAGGCGTATTTAATCTATTTAATTATACGCCGTTTTAAAACACGATTTATTATATTACAAATTATGCATTACTTGACACTGTTAAGTTTTAATTGAATTTATATTTTGCCAATACAAGTACAGTAGAACTTCGATAACTCAAACCTCGGTAACTTAAAAACCTCTATAACTCCAAAAAATAATATGTTACCTTCCTATCAGAGCCCAAAACCTCTATAACATAGACCATTGATAACATAAAATATTTTGTGTTTCCCGTGGACTTATCGAGGTTCTACTGTAGTAACATTCTAAATGATGTAACAAAAATCTTCAACTTTGGTTGTTTCATTAAAAGTGATTGTTTATGGCTTCTTCTAACTTACAATAAGTACGGATTTATCTCTAAAATAAGCAAAACTTACTTCTTACTAATATAAATGCGAAAGTTTAGATGAATGATTGTTAGAGTTTATAGCCTAAACTGCTGAACGAATCTCGATGTAATTTGACATAGATGTAGAGGATAGTCTAAAAGAACACATAGGCTATTTTTGTTTTTTTTTTCACTCCCCTTAGATAAAACTGCGGGTGAAAGCTAGTATGTTATAAAGTTTGTTGATCTCAGTAAACCATTTTTACAAAACCCTTCGACTTCTAACTTGTCATAAACGAAGGAAGGATGAAATTATTAACTTTGTTTTGTGCGTCATATTAATGTGAAGTCGCGCGCCTGCGGTTGCCCTTTGAGGTTCCAATTCAGGCTTTGCCAACATTGTCATTTAGTCATCACTTTATGACTCAGATATCGTCTGAATCATCATATTACATATGTTATGATGATATCTGCGTGTGGTATCCCCAAAGAACAGTAACACGAAAAGATGTAACTTTTAATTTTTTATCTAAATTTGCTGTTTTATTGTGATACAACAAAAAGAGGATGGCTGTTATTCTTGGAATCAACTAACCCAAGTAAATACGCAAATTAGAGGGGTATTTTCAAAAATATTAAGTCGATTTAAAGAATGAAATATCTACAAAGGCAGAGGAAGACCGAAAAACGTATGGATGGATTGTGTGAAAGAGGATATGCTTAAGAGAGTGAACTCAGATATGACGGCTGATAAGTATGGAAGAACAGCACATACCGACCCTCAGTAGAGACAAGGTTAGGTTGATCATGTTGATTGCAAAGTCGATTAAAACCGCTTCTCTCAAATCGCGATCAAATGCAAGGAAGCCCGAAAACTTTTAAGTCTTATTTTAGTCCCTTTTCCTTTCCACCCTTATAGAGGAGGATAAAAGAGAAGTTAGAAGAAAAAATGGACTTGATGGAGGAGACACAAAAGAAGGGGAAATATACTATTTATGCGTGTCTCTTCTTCGGTCAATTGCGGATGTCTACGGTAAGCGGTCGCTTCGCCATTTCGATGGATTCAGATCGCCGCTTGCTCGTTTGTCAGCTTATGATATAAAAGAAAAAGAACTAAGTAGGAAAAATGCTATAATGTCGAAGTATTCATGTTGAATTACCAGAGCTTATTTTTATTAAAATCCTAAGTTTGTCGGTGAGAGGTCTGTATAGATTATTAAACTATTCCAACATCACAGTTAAGTATTTTAATAATATAGAAAAGTGTTATGATACATAGTAACGGTTACTGTATAATGAGATTCAAGGCACAAGAAATGCTTGTTTTTCTTTGAGATTCCAAGAGGAAATTCTCCTATACACTATCTCGTTTGAACTTGCATTCTCCGTTAGCGCCTGATTTATTCTTAATAGCATTCTGCATTATGTAGTTTGTTCTTTGCCCGTGATCTAACGACCACCCGGTTACTGTCAAGTTTACTGTTATAAAGTAATCAACTATACTTACAAAGATGCGCTTTAAGCGCCAATAGCCTAATGGTTTGGGGTACGGACTACCGATCTTGCGGTCGACGGTTCGAATCCCGACATTCGACTATTGTCGTGAACCATATCCTAACACAAGCCTAGAGCTTATTTGGAGTGGTTAAAGGAAATATTAGTATATTAACAAAAAAGTATTGATATTAAAAAAAAAAAGATGCCTGTCGCCTATACGTTCCAAAATTACTGGACAGATTTAGATCGGACATTTATGTTTTGAGGATGACAGAGGTTCATGTCCTAAAAGTAAATGGCCCTAGGGTTCGCTTTGTTTGGGGAACTCTTGATATGTTATATTAGGCTTTTATTTTTATGCCTTCTGATACTGGATGCATTTGTGATGATTGCTAGATTGGATTATCGGCTTAGGGTTGTGATTAAATTAATGGATATAGAGTGCAGTTGAATAGAACGCACTAAGCTGTATTAAATGAAAGTCAATGCTATTGATTACAATGTAACAACTATTGAGTAATTGCTTGTAACAGATTATCTCATTATGTTGTAAGGATCGTAATAATGTAGGGTTAGATAGAGTTGAGATCAATGTAAAGATATAGGAACTAGATACTCCCAATTATGTTTGTTTTGAATATATCGCAATAAAATGTTTTGTTAATTTATGGCCATGTTAATATGACATACGTACCGGAGCCCGCGATGACTCGTAACCGAGTAGGTCAATATTTTGAGCGGAAGAGGGGCCGCCGGTAGTAAGTACTTAATGTACAACAGATGCGTCATCAACGATCCGTCATATTTAGGTCACTACCCCCTTTGTTCTTGACCTTTTTTAATGTTTAAACACAATTTTATTTTAAACTTGTAAAGTTTTACATAGATGTCACTAGATTATAATTTTAATTAATTCTGAATTACTTGTGTTAATTTAGTTTGTGTTTGTTACAGAGCTCGTCAGATTCGGTGTTGACGACGGGGGCGGAGGGCGAGGGCGGGGCGCCGCCCCCTCACGTCTCCACACTGCACCGGAACAAGAGCTCGTTGCACTCTACGTCACAAGCATCGCTAGGTGAGTACAAATGGACAAAAGAACATGCTAAAAACACCGTCGACAGAAAGAATGAGAAGGAAGGTACTAAGGTTTTAAGGAAATTAGCTACTATTAATATGGTCTTATTGAAAGGAGTTACATCTATGTTTTCCTCTTGAAGTCGGCCATGGTAAGAGAGAATATAGGTCAGTATGATGTATTTAGTTAATGTGTCCAGGGGGTAGCATGACGTCGCTGACGTCATCCCCAGCCCCAGGCCCGCCCGCCGCCTCCCTGTCCACTTCGGACCTGTCTGAGCGCGCGCGGCCCAGCCACGGCAAGCCTCACGTAGCGCCGAAGCCGCCCGCGCCCTCGCCACCCCCAAAGAAACTGGTCACCAATGGTAAACTGGCGGCGCGCGCGCAGAGCATGCGGGTACCAAGGTACGTGGAGCCAGACAGAAATGCTTGATAAATACAACTATACAAAAAAAAAATAGAAAAAGTACAGAAAAAAAACATTGACATTCTAAGTTTTGCAATGCGGATTTAAAAAGCCTCTGCTTAGCTATATGTTTAGTACCCCGACTACACGTTACGTCATTTTTTATTACTTCTTTAAAATCAATGTATTTAATATAGACAAATAATAATAGTGTGAGTTATAAATGCTCTTTATCGGGTTGTAGGACCTCGCGAAGTTTTCAGCGTGGGATATATTTAAAATAGTCTCTGAGCACGCGGTGATCGTAATTAACTCATGTAAACAATTGCACTTTGTTTATTTCAGTCCTGTGGGAGATAAGTTAATATTTTAGTCGTGACTTGGGAGAGGCCACATTACTATTTTCGTATTAAATATAGGACTTTTCTTTATATTTGAACATTGTGAACAATCTTGTTTAGTGCAGGCGTACAATTTCGACAAAACTATCGTAAACTGTTGTGTGATTGTCGATTGTTTCGCAGCCAACTGTTTAGTTGCACAACTAAAAGTCGAGTAGTGTGCGCACCTCCATATAAGCGAGGAATAAAAGCGAGACAAAACAGTTGTACGATAGTTTCAAAATATGCACACGCACTTATACAAATTATAAGGACCAATATTCTCTATAATAAAACGTAACGGGCATTACATAGTAGATTATTGCATCCATATTCGTCGACCTCCCACTTTGTAACATCCGCTATTGAAACACAAATGTTCGGCTGTTTATTGATTTATATTGATTAAATATTCATATACCTTCCTTGTTGAGGAAGTTTATGCAAATTATATCTTATATGGGCATAAGGTCGCACACGTGATCATAATTCTATAGCATAGATTGTCTTGAATTTGGGTTATCTTGTGTTTATATTATTAATTTTATGTGTATTTCAATAGAGTTGTGTATGATGAGGATTTTTTTGCGTCAGGTCTCCGCCGGTGTCGCCACCGTCGCCCCCCGGGCTGACGCGCCCCCCGCAGCCGCCCCCTGCGCACCCCCCGCATATCGCCACCAAGAACCCCGCCTCACATTTCGGTGAGTGTCAGCTAAAAATGTGTCATGTAAAACCCTAATCATTTCAGTTGGTGTCTATTTGTTGTCTTAGCAATAACACGGTGCCATTATTTCTAAAGTATACTACTTGCTATTATTATTTTTATTTAAACCTATTCAAAGCTTACGGAAATGACGTTTCTTAATGTGAAGTGTGAAGGCGTCGTGCACATTTGTGTAAAAAAGTGAAGAATTCAACTAGCTATAATTTGAAATTGATGTTCAAAATTCCAATCTTTTTATCTTTATCTACAACGGGCTTCGAGAAAAGAGTGCTTGTCAAAAGTGCCTCGATAGATATTGACCACTGAACAGTAGTTATTGCATTGTTTTCTTCAATAGTTGTAAAATAAATATATGTGTGGTGTAGGCACACTGCGTGCGGTGCGCGCGCTGCGGCCGCCCGGCGTGTGCCCGCCGCCGCCCCCCGCGCCGCCCCCGGCGCCGCCCGCGCCCCCCGCGCGCCACGCCTCGCTGCACGCGCCCCCGCCGCCGCCCCCGCCACACCACCCCCACCACCCCCACCACAGGCAGAACGTGAGTATGACACCACATCACACATTGACACACGAAACTTATCATGTTAGTCCCTTTTCATTTACATGTTTTTTATGGAGGGGTGGGAAGTGAAAGTGGAGGAGACAGGAAGGGAAAATATCCTCTTTCTTTTCCGTCGATGAAGTCTACGCAACGCATCAGTAATAGCGATAGTCTATGAACAGCGGCAACTTCGTCATTTTGGTGGATTCAGGTGGCCGCTTATTCATTTCCCATCTTATTTTATAAAATGACTTGCTGTTGCGACTTCGTCCACGTCAAACCTAAAAATATGTTACTCAGCGATAACTTTGCTTTTGAACTGTAAAAGAATTTTTGAAATTGGTCTAATAGTGTAGAGTTATTTCAATACATATAAAAATACAAATCTTAGAATTGTCTTTAGAATATATATTCGATTGTACCTCTTGCGGTGCACAGAGCACGTCCAGCGCGGGCAGCGCGGCGGAGGCGGGCGCTCCGCCCCCGCCGGTGCGAGGCTCCTCCATCCGCGCGGAGCTGGAGGCGCGCTACGCGGAGCTGTTCCGGCCCGCCGCCGCCTTCCCGCCGCCGCCGCCCTTCCTGCGCATCGCCAAGGACTACAGCAGCGCCGCGCTGCCGCTGCCCGGTACGTCGCACTGACACACACTGCACAGACACATTTATAATATATATAGATAAGGCATTTTTCAACGGTTCTCTGAAAGGTACAGTCAAGGAAACCCACGGTGTCATACTTTGTAAAATGTTCCTTGCATCGAGACACACTCCGCCTCACAAATAATTAGGTAGCAATGAATGCTAATAATAAAAACAAGTATAGTATTTGTTTCGACTAGTTTTAAAATGTTCAATCGTAACTTTTTAGATGGAACATCGCCAATTTCCTCGACTGTACTTAGTTGTCAAGTTTAGTATCACACATGTGTATTGACGTAAAAACATCTTTTGTTATAAAATAAACAAAACAATGTTCCGAAAATAGAAATATTTTAAGATTATTTTATGACACCTATTGACAATTAATTTTAATAAATTGTAATATTAGCGTGTTTATAAAAATGTCTAAATTGAATTGACAACTATGCCTTCTCCATATATATTTTTAAGTTACAATAAACACATCGCTAGTATACACTGTTATTGATCTTGTCGTCGTCGTTAGTTGATCTAGGGGGATACTGGGGAGGGTACTACTATTAATAATGTCCTATTTGTAGTATTTTCAGTATCTATTTTAAATTATTTATAATAAAATAAAGCCTTATTATTATTAAGCGTTTTTAAAGGAATGGGGTGAGCCCCTCTACCCCCTCGAGCTATGCCGATGTTAGTTCAGTAGCGCCATTGTCAATGTCAGAAAATCTTTTAAGGATTTCCTATACTAATGTAGGTTTTATATATGATATAACCCTGCTTTTACCGACTCAGATAAGCTTGTTGCGTTAAAAGTAGAATCTTTTTCACTAGCAAATGTAACTTTGTGCAGAACCTCAAATTTTTTCTTTTGTAACGGTTAATATCTTGGGTTTATTTACATTTTGTATATTTCGAGGACGATGTCCGACAACCGACTGTGTAGCCTTAATTTGTAAACTAAGGCATTTTGTATGGTTTTTTTGGTTTTACTTGATTATAAGTGAAACGCACAAAAACTAGTTAGTCATATGCTTAATTGTACATATAGGGAAGTAATTTTGCAATGCAATATGTACAAGTCATAATTTAGACGTAGCGTTAAGTTTATATGTTATTTTTCTTAGTATATTCAAGTATATTAAGACCAAATTTGTATTGGATTGTGATTTAGTTGGTGGATAAATGTTTGCATGCATGCATGGTTGTCGGAAACAGCCATTATTGGCTGAATGTGATGAAACTCCATCAAGGGCCTATCCCACTGGCTGATAGATAGCTTAAAAATGACATCACTGTTAGATAAGGGAACAAAATCCGATATTTTCATCACATGTTTTATTGGTATCAGACAAGTTACAATATGGTGGGACTGGTCCTAAATATTATTATAACAGATATTTTAAAGAAACTTCTATAGAATTATAGTACAGTATTTATCGAAATTAAGTACATTTGAAGCAATGACATGCGCTTACATATTGGTTGATGGCATTTACAATTGGCATTCCATTTTCATGTTCGAAAGTTCTTGTTAAAATAACTCCATTGTCATTCTAAATTCATGTAACTAACGTGAACTATTAAAAATGTTATTACATTCGTGTTAAACCACCTTTGAAACTGCCATTCAAGGTTGTTAACTAAGTGCTACCCTTAGTTAAGTATCTGAACTAAAGGATAGCATAAATAATGTGTTTCATTCTGTTTTCCAGAAATTTACTTGAATGTTTCTTTTTTGAGTCATTATATTAATAGTATATTTTATATTAGTCGTATTATGTCAATGTGTAATTTACTTATAGATACGTATCAAATTTATTTATTTAAAGCTATATTTTATTTGTAACTTCATTTTTTTTGTTTATGTAGTTTAAAGTTGACTTTTTATTTTGATGCTATTTGAGAAAATTTACCAGCTTTATAGTTTTTCCACTGTAGTTGCCTGTAGTTTTCATTGATTTTGTATTCGTTTTAAAATTTGATACGTATGCACGTTTGTATGCGATAGTTTAGTTGAGAGTTGTGATGTTTGTAGCGAGGTGCCATTACGCTGACAATTACAAATACTGCTATGCAGTTATCCGATAAAAATGATATATTCCTTAAATCTCTTGATTTATCGCCGTTTTGTATTTAAAATGGGAAGTTTTTCCAGTATTATAAAGTACTTAATTTATTTAAAAGTACATTAAACGTTTTGATATGAAATGTTTTATTTCGCGAATGTCAAGAGATTCAACGAAGGCTTTGTGCGTTGACAATTATTGTGATATAACTATGTATTATGCTTATTTTATAGTTATTTTTTAATAATAAAAGAGTAATAATTATTGAATCGTTGTCGAGTATTTCATTCAACCTAACATTAGATGTCTGATTGCTTTATGTGATAGAATGTGGGAAGAATTATTCGAGTCTTGTATGACCTTAGTGTTGCATATATCTTTAATATGTGGAAATAAAGTTCTTATTTTAATTATTTTATAGAAGAAATAGAATTTTAAAATAGATTTAATTTACATTTCTGTTGTAAGAATGTGCTATCCATTAGTAATATTTATGGCAACACAAGTCAAATTCAAAGTGGCCAATATTTGTTCTGTGATCGTGGGTAAGTGTTTTTTTTAATATTTTTAACACTTTAGCGAGTTGTTTCACAATGCATGAATTCCATTAATACAACTAACAGCATCCATAACATCCCGTTTATACTAACTTGCATGTAACTTCGCATGTCCCTACAATATAACAAAATGCAATGCTACGCATGTATGGAAGCAAGATGAGTAGAAGTATGTTATCTAATAAGTATACCATTAATATTGTATAATAGACTTATAACTATGACTTGTTTGAAATTATGAATACTGGAAAATGTAACGTCTTCATGATAGGATATTTCCAGTACACTTTAACCCACTAATGATAGTTTGCAAATTTGTTTTATGGTTTCAATTATATTACGACATCAATTCTAATATAAATGTCTGTACTGTTTATTGTACGGATTGTTCACATAACGGCTCTTAAACAGACATTTTTAAACTGAATATGGTGTGTAGTGTCGTATTATAATTGAAGCATTAGTTTTCAAGACGTAGTAAATGATATTTTGTTGCGACAGTGAACAAAGCGCAGGCGCCGCCGCCGCCG